TTAAGATAATAAGATCGCAGTTTGCGTTTTGTGTTTTAAATATATAGCTGATCACACACAAGTATAGCTACTGATAAACAATAAGCTAACCATCGCCAGAAATATCGTAAAATGTTTTGGCCATAGATTTTTTAAAAGGTGCTAAAGAGCTTCAGATACGTGTGAAGACGAATTGTAAAATCTTAGAATGAATGTTCCAACGCGGCGACGGTAGACAGTTCTCCCGAAGATAAACGGAAGGGAGGATGGGAGGGAAAAGTGATGCCTCGCCATGGAATAGCGATGAAAGTCGGGAAGTTAAGCGCCTTATGGGATTCTACGAGTTCGAGGTGTTTCGTGGGAAAAGTGCCTTCTATGCCGACGTGCCTCGTGTGCGGAGATGCGCGAAAATGCGCCATTGATTTTTATCCGTGAGAAGTAGGCTTCCGTGAACGGGCTACGGAAGGCGTGGAATGAGAGGCGGAGGAATATCACGATAGGTAAGCAGGTGCACATTCTGACGCAAAAATGGCGAAAATAAGGACCCGATAAGGAAAAGCCATCTCAAATTTCTCCCAGCTCCCCGTGACGGCAAACATCCATCCCGTCGTAAATAATTCACGTATGCATGTGCCTCTGCGTGTTTGCGTCATCTTATATAAATTTTATTTAGAAACATATTTCACGCTTGTGTTTTTCGTGCGATATTTATCGAAAAAGCCAATCGGGGCGGCACTGACAGTAAGTATTTGAATGCAAACAACCTCCTGAATATTCCACAATAGTTCCTCCCTCGTGAAAAATGGTATAGATAGTAAGTTATTTGTTTATCACATAAAATTGTTGTAGAGGTCCACTGCGCATGGACACTTTCGTATATTTTCTATATACATTTCATCGATAACATTCGACATATACCTACGCTCAAACAGAATCACACGTATCAGTTTTTTTTTTTTTTCATATATATTGACCATTACTCGAAAGTTTGGTCACGAGATTCTCTACAAACAGTTTTACGAAATATTTTACGTGGTCAAACACACACGCGCGCACGTACGTTCGGGTCACTCGTCCGAAAAAAAGTCCGTTTAAAAATGAATAGATGTACATACATGGCTGCATGGTACGCGGTCACCAATCAAATTAACTCGCGCTCTTACGCGACTTGTCCTTTTTAAACATCGCCTTTTTTTTTATTTGTTCGCCTCTTCTGTTTTGACCTCCTCGCTTCACGGCGCGCTCCCTTATTCCGCGCGAACAGTTCGCTCGGGGCAACGTGATCGGAATGCTCATTGGTAATTCAGATCTGTCGCGGCGCAGACGTGTTCCTAAGAGTGTGTGACGGAGGGGAATAAAGATAGCAGGCCTTCCAGAAGTCCTACAAAGGCTTTACTCCAGGAATCATTCTTGCGACAGAACTGGCGAAAAGGGTCCAGATGGGGGTCGGTTGGATTGGAACTGAATAAAATATCGTTTTGATACTTAAGCTCTTGCGCGCGAAATTGTTTCGCAATACACAACACACATAAATAGATATTGCACCTCGAAGAGGATATTTCTTTCCTGTCGCCTTTATTTAAATAAAGAATAAATTTACTTAGCTCTCTAATAATGATGATGCACGAATTCACACACACACACACAATCTGCTTTTTTTCTGTGATGATTCAAATAGCGCTCCTCTCATTCTGTTTTTCTAAACGTTTATCCGGTCCATTCACGTGTTTTCAACGACTTAATATTTCTCTCACATGCAATGCACACATTCGGCAGCAGTTTCAACACAAAAATCCGACGAAAATCGCAAAATAAGCATGACTCGCGGCGACCGAAAATATTCACACGCGCGTTGGTGATTCGATGACAGAGGGAAAAACGCTACTGGAAGCGTAAACTGGCAAACGGCATCAATATTTTCTTCTCCTCTCTCGAGATCAGCCTGTAGGTTTAGGATCCCGGAAAACTGGGAACGCCTGGTGTATTCTATATTAAAAGTCTCTGCCCCACACATCACCCCAGTATTTCTGTGCGATCACGGAATTTTTGCTCGGATATGGTTGCGTGCGTGAGGGACGCGGCGTGGTGTGTAACCCCGAGAACTTCTCCGGGAAATCTGGTCGATTCACTTTGGACTCCCCAAACGCGAGAAATATGCGTGCCACACGTGCGCACGTCATTAGATTGATATTTATGGGACTTTATAATTGTGCTTCTGAAATATCTATCGTCCAAATTGACATTCGATCTCGCGATTCTCGCATTTCCTACGCGGTAATAAACGAAGTTTATACGACCGATTCATATGTACCTGTCTGCGCGTACCTGAAATCCAAACGTATCTCGGATTGCATTTCCATTTCCCAGCGAATTAAGATTTACCGACAAAATTCCAATGGATGGGCTCCCCACGTTATACGTAAGCAATTACTTGCGCAGGAAATATTGCGTTTTCGAAAGCTCATATTCCACACGAGAAACAGATCCTTCAATTGCTATAAAATCCGGATATAAAGATACATCACAATTATTCGTCTTCTAACAAAAATAAACATAACGATTATTCTTCTCAGACAGAATTTGATTTAAAATTTTTTGTCTCTTTCGATAATAATCGGTATTCGTTTCGGTATATAGTTATACACACTTGCAGCTACTCTCATTGTCAGAATAATTATTAAAAAGGTACAATATCGAGTTGAACATCAAGTACGATATATTCAAAATATTTCTCATTAACGATAAGCGGACATGAAAATCATATTATTCTATATAGCTCTTATATATCGGAATCGCATACGATAATCGGGATTAAACCCCTGCAGACACGGCGGAAATAGGCTATGCTATATTCGGAAAGCTCAAATCTGAAGAGCAAAGCACTTCGTGGTTGTGCTTGCCGACGCCATTCTCCGTCGTATGGAACCGTGTGGAAATTCAAAAGCGCATGTTTGTCGTCCACTCGGCGAACCCTTCTGGAAATTGGCCTGGTGTCACCGGAGAATTTCAGTGCCCTCTCTTGTGTGGTCCTGTCCACGCGGGGCGCAAGAGAATCCAGTAAAATTAAATCAAGGGGCTTTCGTCCTCTTGCCCGTCGGAAAGCCGCGGGACAGCTATTACACTACGTACCTCGTAGTAGTGTATATATATATATTCGGTGTAAAACCGCCGAGCAATAACTCGCATTTAAATGTTATCGATATCCCAAGAGCCGCGGTACGTGCCCCGCCCAATTTCGATGAACGCGAGCACATTTTCAAAAATAAATAACGATCATTAATTTCTTGTGCTGTATAATGCAAAAAGATAATTTAAATATAAAGCAAATTATTTCACATAAATGTTAATATCTTACCAATCTTATTTAAATGCCTTATATAATCCCCGAAAAATGCATAATTTCTTCCAATCAATCCTTTAAAGGTTCAGGTTTCTTTTATATTTTTCCCCGCATCGCGCATTGAAGCGCTTGCGCTTTTAACGCGGCGTTGTATAAATCTTCAGAATCTAGGCCTCTTTAACATCGCCCGATTTTCAGGAAACGGTAGAAACGGATACCGTAAGGTATATATCCGTTGGATAGCTTCCAGTACGCGGCTGCAGCAGCTTTGGGGTCGAAATATCGCGACGGTTGTGGGGTTAGTATTACTGATATTAGCGTCGCCAGTAACTCTTTCGAAATAGCCTTGGCACATACCAAGCCCGTGTTAACTTTTTCCTTTTCTTGAATCACGCCTTGCATTACGGCTCCCATGCTCTCGCGTATTCTTCGACGGTTACTATCGCGGCGGTTAAAGTTTGAATAATTACGTACTTTGCAGGTGCAGGACAATAAACGCACGTGGCTACCATTTGAAAGCTTATTGTATTTCTGTTGCATCGATAGCCTTTCATTAATTAACTATATTGTTCTCGTTGAATGGCGACCGATACGCGATTGAAACGCAAAATACACAGAAAAAAATTTATAAAAGACTTCGAAACAGTGATGTATGATTGCTAAACAAAATAGGTGCAGAGTTAATAGATCTTCGGGAAAACACGCCAGAAATGAAGTTTTTCTACGCCTCACTGGCTACCGAACGGACGCATTTTTTTGTTTCAGATTGACGCCAATGTACGGGCCGTCGATCTTTTTTCAGATTCTGTTTCACCACATCGTACATCAGTGGAAGAGGGATTGGGAACGAATACCATCAAGTCGATTCTGCGCTCGTATGACGCTTTTCCTATTTACTTCGATTTTTTGCCCAACATTATTTCTCTAGTTTCATATCTTTTTTATTATTAATACTTGCTATTTCAATAACAAAGCATGAAGGTATACATGCCCATAAAATTGCTCGACGTAACAATAGAAGTCAAAAATTTTTCTCATTTGTGCTGACTTTCGTCTTAGCAAGATGATACTTGTTTTATAACAAACAAACAAAAATAATATATTATATAGATGCCATTATAGGTATGAAGAATTTTTAATAAATTATACATATATTCTTTTGATATTTTTTATAAAATATTTTTCGTAAATAGAAAAACATATCCATCAAGATATGTTTTTGAATAAATAATAATATTATTTAGCAGAAAAAGTAGAGCTAACATAATTAATGTTAACATATGTATGTAGCTACTTTTATCGTTACTTTCTGTGAAAATTCTCTGTGCGTTTTATGAAAAAGCGTCACATCAGTATTAGATGTTCTTACGCGTAGAAAATGTTTTCTTTATAAACGAGATCATAAATTATTTTTTCGCAATATGATTATAACGAAAATATAATGTGACATTTATATACGCTTGATGATGTATGAGAAAGATGTTTTTTTTTATACAATGACCGAGGTATTTGATATTTCACAATATGACATATAGGCTTCCGAAGAATTCGTCCCGTCATATTATCAAAGCTATATTTTATACATTGATTAAACGATTGTACGTAATTGTAAACGATGAATAAATCATAAGAGCGCAGAATCATTCTTTACATTAAAATGTAAATAAATTATGCAACTCACCAACCGAAGTCGAAGTCCGCAAATCGAGTTAGAGAAATTACGAATGCACTTGTAGTAGTAGTTTTATTAGCAACACCGCCGGCGCCGTCTCGAAACTATCTTGACGTCTGAAAAGATGACGTGTTTTCGTCATTTAACAATCCCAGGAACGAAACGAGATGCAAATTAGCTGCTCTACGCACTTTACACTAACACGATGTCACCAGCACGCTGTCTTGTTGACGAAACTTATCACGGTCATTTCCACAAATCACCACAATTCCGTCATAATATTTTATGCCGTATAATGTTTACCCTCATAATATCTGTCATTAATAGCACACCGCCCATCAACGTTGAATATTATATATGTATATTAAATGTTTTTAAGATTGGGGGAATATAGCCTGTATGAGCACATACATAAGTTTTAAGACAAGATCTAAAATCGTTATATTATTGAATGTTATATTATCGATGTTGTTTCTGCTTGCTTATACTTAAAGTTGAACCTCTCGAATAACCCAAGCGAAATATCAATCAATACCGGACTAACGCGATCTACTTCGCTGCGAATATATTTGTTGCTTTCCCGTCTTGTTTCTAACAAAAAAAATTATACCAATAATAAGACGTGAATACTCAAAATCTATCTAAACCTGTCAAAAAAATTCTTAAATTAAAACACGAAATTCCATATGCGCATAGACACCGTTCATGTTGTAACATTTGCGTTAAGAGATTCAGATTACCTCGATGTAATATTCCCGTCCGATATAATCAACCATTACAACCGTTGAGCTTGCAGCTATAAACGCAAGCCCTTTTTATTGGTTATCGGCCGCGGTCTCTTTCGCGCTTACACGCGAGCCCATTCACTGTGTAACAATGTCGGGTAGACGGTTTAATTGCGAATTATCGAGCCATTGCGAAATTCAATTGCCGTGTAGGCTCTGCTCACGAGTCTCGCCCGCACGCGCGTCGCACACAGGTGAAATCGTGCGTGCAAAACGCCTCGCTGATATCCAACGCGTGTCCATACGATCTTTCACATGTTCATGACGGAATTTGGTTTAATAAACACGCATTTTATCGTTACTCGTAGATAAACGTTATACCCGGTTTATGCAACATGAAACACTATGGAGATGCATGTGAACGTTGTCTCGCAAAGTTCTTCTCGTTGTTACATATCTGTAGTGTTAAAAATACAGAAATAATCGCGTTCATTTACAATTTATCGCGGAAGGATCTTTATTTAACAAATGATAAATTGTAGCAAGAAATAATCTATTCATATTATTTTATGTTATTATCTTATCATGTCGGTACAGCGATAGTAATAATAATGCGAGCTTTTCAGCATATAAAATATTACATTCGTCCGTATATTTATAAATTATAGTTTAATTCAATAAATTGCATTAAAAATATGTTACTTCCACATTAGACGGCGAAATTTGTCAAAGTACATTTCAGATTTTCGAGATTAGAAAATTAAAAATATAGAAAATGCATGCAAGATAAAGAATATTTTATTTAAAATTTTACATTTTAAATATTTTAAAAGAATTTTAAATTAAATAATTGGAAAAAAAATATTTTCATTAAAATTTTCTCTTAATTTAACTTAACAAAACTGTTCACATGTTTTATTGAAAAAGACAGAGCCTCTGATGAACATAGCAAGCGTTAAATATTTTATTTTATAATTTGCCATTCGCCGTAGATTTTTTTTGTATGTTCTGTATTCTCAATCGTTTAACCAATGCTGACATAAAATCTACTATGTCATTTCAATTAATATAATTATTACAGTAATTTAATTATTGTAATTACGTTTATTAACACTATTACTTGCCATTTAATAGATGCTAATTAAGATAAACTGTAAAAGTAATTTATAAAAAACAAATTAATTTATTCCTAAAATATTAAAATTAATATTCTGATAATTAAAGTAATTAAAAATGTTTCAGAATGCATTTTAGTGTAATTGATTAAACTGAAATTAATGAACTGGATAAATTAATTATTTTAATCTTTTATTAAAAGTGTATATATTTTGAGGAAATCGTAAATTAACGATCGAATACACACACACACATACACACAATGATTTTTATAAAAGATCAATTTCTTGTCAATTTCATATAGAACTGTGCACAGTATTTGCCGTGCATTGCCCTAGAAGCAACGACCTCTAATCCTGGATGATTAATTAACAGCAAGGCATTAACTCCCGCAGGATCAAAGAGCTTCGACCTTGTTGAATTTCAAATGCTAAGCCTATAAACGTTGGGAACAATAAAATATAGCAAATCTGAGCTTTCGCTTCTATACTCGTACGAAATCTCAATTGGTCAAGGCACTTTCAAATTCTCCACTATCTCATCCCTCGCTAAAGAGCACACTCCAACCAAAATAATCCAACCAACCCGCTTTCCAAAAACGCTTCGGCACTCTGCAGTTCCACGAGATAAAGCTACGAGGGAACGCGACAGCGATCGACAGGTGTTCCAAAAAGTTCGCCGGCGATCTCGCGATTCCGATCGATCGCGACGATTCACTCGCCAATCCCGCGGGAAGGACGTATCGATCGATTGCTCGCACACAGTCCGAGAAGGTGCACGGTCGTCATCCACGATATACACACGCGTTCGTGAGAAATACACGCACTACCGCGAACTACCCGCAAAGTGCTCGCGAGCGACGCAAAGGGACGAATGAACGGAAGCTCTGTGCTTGAAAGCTCGCAAGCCCCACCGCCCTTTCGGCGCGTGCGGACTGGAGCAAACTTGACCGATCGCGAGCGACCGACGCCGAGGGTGCACGAAGAGCAATGGACGGAGGGGGTTTGACATATCGCTGCAAGATAATTAATCGGTGGAAATATAATGCCTGATCAAGAGCGCAAAGCTCTCGGTTTTTTTTCTCTCGCATGGCGCGCGGATTCGCTATATGCGCAGATCTGAAAAAAAAAGAAGAAGAATTCCGAACGAGAAGGCAGCTCATGATGGACTGATGGCGCTATTAAGACCTTCATAAAAAAATTATTAAGCTCTGTATGAATTTATTTAATTTTCACACGTTTTCGCTTGTGTTCACGTTTTATTAAACTATTCTTTTTTTTTATGTAAAACGCCAAATGAAAAGGAAATTTTGTTTTAAAATTGTTTGTAAATATGAAGTTCTATGCCCATATTCATCAAAATATTTCGAGCTATGCGTTACAAAATGCCCAGTGTGTGTATAGCTTATAACTTGTATAATATTTACATACGTAAAATAATAATATCTGTGACACCTGAAAGTAACTCTAAACTCTTCAAATTCTGAACTCTTTCTAAATCCACTTCATCACCGTTACAATATCGCGTGATCCGTTTAAGACACGGGCTTTTACTTTTCTCACAGCAATAAAAGAAGACTGCCGTCGGATCGATAAAGCGGAGCGACAATGAGATAACGTTTACGCGTCCGCTGGAATCCACAGGCAGCATCGAAAAGCTCCGATTCTCCAAGCAGGCAATTGGTCGGTAACCAATTTACGACTCGCGCCAGCCAGCGACCGGTGGACGGTATTTTACGCCTCGTAAAAAAAAAAGAAAGCCGCGAGTAGAGAGACGAAAGGTGAGAGCAAAAAAAAGATGGCCCGCTCCAATCGAATTCATTTCCATCCATGCACAAGTACTGAATCTGCCGGCTTGGACGAGCGATTTCCTCGTGCGTAAAATTCATTGTCGATACCCTTCCGGTAGATCGTGATAGCGAAGCACGAGCAACCAAAAGCGAGAACAAAGAAGCTTACGCCGAAAGCGAACGGAACAGTATCATTCGACCCTTCACTGTGAATTTTTAGTTAATCCCGCGAGGGGGATGACGTATGCCCGATGCGATTGACAGCTAGAAAACAGCCAAAGAGGAACAAAATAGATATTAAGTTAATTTAAAGCTATCAGTCGTACCGGGGAAAGGGTTTAGAATTTGCGAACGTGGGAACGTACGGGTAAAATGCAGCAAATAAGCTTCGGTGGAAGCTTCAACCGTTGATGAATACGTTCTTCCGTGGTCGGATGATTAAATACCGACCGTTTGTACAAGCTTTGATCCATCCAATCAGTACGTTGCAACATATTCTAGTAAAGTACGCAACCCATGTTCACTTCAAAGTCCCACGCGCTTTCACGGAACAAATTGAAATACACTTTGAATGTTTAATGTTCAGACACCTATCCTCACCCACGAGGGCATGCCGTTTTTCTCCCTCGGTTTAGCCTACAACAATTTTGAAGTTCGCTAGAATTCTGCTGCAACAGATAATACTGGCTGTATGAAGTTCTAGGCTAATTGTAAGTGAAGAAAGAAAGAGAGAGAAAGAGAGAGAGAGAGAGTTCTTGCGGCAAGGATGCTATTTATGATTTTCTATAAAATGTTTCGCGAAAACGCGACGTCCAGATTCTTTTTAATTATGTCGTTTATTAAAGTAATTTTTCTAACAGATTCCATTTTTCATTGACTTTAATAACATATATTGAAGTAACAATAAGGAAAAATTGAATAAATAATACATAAATAAATAATTTATTAGACATAAAATAAAACAAACTAAAATTATTTCTACGTCTTTCCTTTCACGCGAAAGATTAGAATCGATCGAATCATCAGTAAAACGCGCGCTAGATTAATTTGCAGCGCACACAGTGTAGAACTACCATCTTTATTATCTTCTTTTTTTCCCTTGAAAATTGCATCGGCCATCTGAAGCCCTTTAATTTCACAAAGTAACACATGAACGTGCGTTTGAGGCGGAACGAGGCCGAGGCCGGCGGCGATGCGCTTCGCTCATCAGGACCGGTATAACCGTGATACTAGAGTTACTCGTCAAATATTTACCCCGAGTGATGCTGGCGCCAGGCAAGTGGTATCCCAGCTGATCCAGCTTCGGCGAAGCGAGAATACGGCCGCGTGAAAAATGTTCCATTTAATTGTTGATAGATAGTTGAGCGGATCTCTCGCCGCAATTGAATAACGTCTTTACGTCCAAAGGCAATGGACCTCTCGCGTAACGCGCTCGATTATTATCGTTTCATCTTGAACCTCGTTTTTCCTGAGAGCACTCGCTAAAGAAATCTGACGCGATAGTAGCCTATACGAGAGAAGTCAAGATTTATTGTAGAAAATACGACGAAGGAGTGCTCGTAAAAGACACATACACGTTACAGTTGTGCTACAGTTAATGCAGTACATGAAACGAATAAAACTAAAACCCAATAAAATGAGCATACATTAATATCTTGCAAGTTGTTTATAATCACATATCCTGTTTCAATGTATGTAAATTTTTTATAATATATCTAATTACAAGTTCAAAAGTTGAGAGAATTGCAGAATATCAATATTTACTTATAATCAAAAAGGATAAAACAAAATAAGAAAAGAGTAGACAATCGACATAGAGAAAAATAATTTGTTCGGAGAGAATTGCATAATATCAATATTTACTTATAATCAAAAAGAATAAACAAAATAAGAAAAGAATAGACAATCGACATAGAGAAAAATAATCTATTCAAATAAATAAAGCACAGTTCCCGGAAATAAATTAATATAAATAACCAATAATGCCATTTTGCGCTGACACGGATGTTGGTATGTAATCATTTTTACTGTTACAATATCAAGCCACATACAAACTGTGCGCCGCATAAACTGTCGGTCTTGAAACACAGTTCTTACATGAGGCCAGCATCCACTGTAACGAATTAAATTGTCGAACAATTATTAAATTTCGTCCATGCGTTGCGAT